CCCACTCCAGTATTCTTGCCTGGAGAATTCCACAGACAGAGGAGCCTGGTGGGCTATAGTTCATAAGGTCACAAAGAGTCGAATACAACTGACTAACACACGCACTCATGCTAAAAGTAGTAGTTGGAACCAGACTGTGAAGAGCCTTGAATGTTGACCAAAAGGCTAGACTCACTTTTAAGTCACAAGGAACCACCAAATGACTTTATGATCCAGTTTACTTTTTAGAGTCACAATCTGGTAACTGTGTATACAACAGGTTCAATTCAATAAGGACATTATAACAGAAATTTAGGTGAGAGATGGTGAAATCCTAATTAAGGGAATGGAGAAAAGAGGAAACATACAACAGAATTTTAGAGATAAGTTCAGAAGAAATTTGAAGTGTTGATAGAACACTCAAGAGATAACTAGCAATTGATAACTGCAATACATCCACTATGTTAGACCCTTCCAGATGCCAAGCCAATCCAGACTCACACGTCATCCCCTCTGTCTGTCCTGTCCTCTCTCATCATCTCCCTAACAGAATCCTTCTTGTCCTTCAAGAAATCCCTTAAATATAATTATTTCTGGAATAAGTTCCTCAAGGACAGGGATCATATCTTATTCCACTTTGAATTTCTAGCTACCATCTTGTGCACAACAAATACTCAACAACTGTTGACCAACTGACCGAATGACTACATGGAGAAGGAATTTGCAACCCTATAGAATGATTTATTCTACTCGGTGCTAGCAAGATGCTAAATCAGCGTTTTTCAATCAACTGCGAACAAGGATATTTAAACACTTTATTTCCAAGAAATATCCTAAAAGTAAACTGAGCCAACATAGGCATTAATGGCTCTATCCTCACTATTCATACCTCTTTCTCTTTGTCCTATTTTTCTCTACCTCTCACTCTTAGACAGCCCTTCAAGTGGTTTCCTATTTCTTCTGCCTGTGGTTCAGGCTGGCACACAGTACCCCCCGTTACTTCTGCTCCAACAATAGCAGGCACTGACCTATTACTGACTGTCATCCATTACTAGGACTGGTTTATACACAGTCAGAGGAGGCTACCACTTCCTTCATGTGATGCCCACTGTCTCTAAAGTAACCGCCTTTACATCTAGGAACTTGCTTTCTGGGTTGAAGGTTCTGAACCTTATCAGGATACATTCTCAGGGTAATTCTTTAAGCTTTTGGAAACAACCAAGAAAAGGAAAGAAGCTCAAAACTTTCATCCACACTGGCTTAAGTTATTGAAAATTTAAGTAGGCCTTAGGGTAGAATGCACGTTAGAACCTTTCCAAGGTGAAAGGAGGAGGCCACAAGGGAACTGAAGGATGTGGGAGGGCAAAGAGTGTGGGAGGAGAAACCCGGAGAAGAAAAGAGTTGGGAAGCTTAGAACACACTTGAGAAACTCTTGCTTTTGTTTTTCGTTTTTTTAGAGGTCTGGGCTGACCCTGTTTGTGGCCATGTACCCATCCCAGCATTCTTGCCTAGAGAACTCCATGGACAGAGGAGTCTGGCAGGCTAGAGTCCACGGGGTCTCAAAGAGTTGGATACAACTGAGCAACTAACGCTCTCACTTTTTACTTTCAACCAAGATGATATAAGCTACCAGAGGGACCAGTCCTCAGAGAGATAGTCTTAGTGGAAGAGATTGGAGAGACAGAGGGGAACTAAACAGGTCAGTCCACTTCTGGGCTCCTTCAGACCAAAGTAGCACCAATAGTGGGGACAGGTAAGGCCCTGGTCAGTTGAGAGGCTACCAGACTCTCCGTGATTCCCTAAGCACCCAAACTTTTTTTCAAAGAACATGTCATCTCAAATAATAAAGGAGGGGCTTCTCATCCCAGAGCAGGCCTACCTCTATAACCAGGAAACACACATTAATCCTGGTTGGGGAGGCAGGATCTGACGCACATGAAATTTCTCACATTTCCATTCTCTGCTCCCCATCATGGCTCAGCCATGTCTGGGGGATTATTGTGTGCCTGTCCCACAATTGTCTGGGGGGAGAGACATGATGTGCTATCAAAGTGCAGATCATTGTACCAGTGCTGGTATGTGAACTGTGTGTTACTGGCTTACAACAGGTACAGACATCAAGAGTATGCATTTGGAATCAGTTACAGCAATTTGCTGAGACACCACAGTACACCATCAGTGGGCTTATGTTTTGCATGCCCTTGTTGTTATCTGTATTTCACGTTCTGAGTATTCATTTTTATTATATTTTATTAAGGGGCTCAATCTGTGATAACTAGAAATAAAAAACACTTAATTCCCAAACACCAGTCCTTCACCACTGTTTGTGCCAGTACGACCCTGCTGAAGACCAGCAGCCAGAACCAGAGCTGAGCGTGCCTGGAGTTTTCTTTGCCTCTCGAAAGAGAACCTCATCCCCTGCTCCCCTCTGTTCATCAGAGCCCTCTCTGCCTCCTCAGGCTACAGATGCAAACAAGACCAGCTCCAAAGGAACGTAGGTAGCTTCTCATGCTTGAATACACGTTGAATACCCACAGTGAGTTAATTATTCACAAACAGAAGCGCTCAGAATTGTGCCCACAACAGAAGAAGGACTCTTTCCCCAGAGCTTATTAGGGGGAAAAAAAAAAATCCTTCAGAAACTGCAATACCCAGTCAGGATTGCCTCATGCTCCCGGACTCCTGACTAAGAAAATATTGACAGGTATTGAGTCATTCTATTGAAGTTCACTTAGTCTAAACGTACAGGCCCCAAAATATACTTCACACACCCAGTTCCCAAAGGTTAAAGAATCAGTGAGAAGCATGCTGGAACCTGACGCTGAGTAAAGCAGGAGTTTCTGACACAGAGAGAAGGAAGTAAATAACAGCTCCTGCTACAGTTCTGGGTGCTCACTGCTCACACCACGTAACGAGCAAAGTATGCCGGACACATCAAACATGCTTCTTCCTGTCTTCTTGGCCTACCTCATCTGTGTTATAATAACATGTTAAGTTGCTCAGTCATGTTTGACTCTTTGCGACCCCAGGACTGTAGCCTGCCAGGCTCCTCTGTCCATGGAATTCTCCAGGTAAAAATATTGGAGTGGGTTGCCATCCCCTTCTCCAGGGCATCTTCCTGGCCCAGGGATTGAACTCGGGTCTCCTGCATTGCAGGCAGATTCTTTACCATCTGAGCTATCAGGGATTCCCAACCTAATAAAAGGCCACCTGCAGATTGCCAATTTTCTTTCTTCCTGAGAAATGCCAAGTGGTACCCATACCTCTTGGTACCTCTTGGTTACATTTCATCTCATATCACCCTGGTGAGACAGCTTGGTCCTGTGGTACATACAGATGAAATCTCAAAGATGTGTCTGAGGTCATCCAAGAAATGTAACCAATAACAGAGACACAAATGTGGACACTATTCACAGCCTCAAATTGGGAAAGGTAGGTGGGTACCCACCAGGCCATGTGGTCGTAAGGAAACTCAGTCAAGCTCTAAGGGCCATGGCACCTTGGTCCCTTAGGCCATTGAAGATGAAATGAGTTCCTGGGAAAAGGAAAGGAAGTCCTTCACTATCTCCTGGAGTTTGCTCAAACTCATGTTCATTGAGTTGGTGATGCTGTCTAACCAGCTTCTCATCCCCTGCCACCCCTTCTCCTTTTGCCTTCAATCTTTCCCAGCATCAGGGTCTTGATAGAACATCACAGACCATCCTGGGTGGGAACAGGGGGGATATGGTGCCACCTACCACCTTAGAAAACAAAGTGAGTCCTCTCTAAACGGGAAATGGATAAACAACAGGTACCTTAATAGACTCAGTATTCCATTATCCATATAACATAATACTTATATTTGACTCTGAAATGCCTGTTGGTGCCTATAGAATAGACCCACTCTCTCATCCACAAATTACACTGATAACAATATCCCCATTTCCCAGGTGTCTCAGCCTTGGACCCTGACTCAGTGACTGCCCCATCAGCAAATTTACTGACTTCATTGCAGTTGGAGATTCTGATTCAATTGTCTTCACTGAGGAACTAGAGATAAAATGTAATTGCCCTTCAACCAAAGGGTAACAACTATACCTCCAATGGACAGATACCAATGGGAAGACCCTTAAATATCTAAAAACAAGTCATCTTGGTTGAAAAAGTTGGAGGCAACATAGCCTCATAATTAGCTATATCATAGGAAGGATATACAAATGTGCATTTTGATTGGTTAGGTGATAAGATAAATGGAAAACACACAAAAGCAAGACTGAAATATTGAGGACAATCAGCATCCTTAAGAGGCGTCTATTCAGTACCTACCATGTACCAGGTATTTTATGTACTAATTCTCATCAGAAACTGTCTTATACAGTATGACTCCTATCTATAGTTAGGAAAAGAGATTCAGGGAGATTAAATGACTTGCCCATGGTCAAATAGCTAATAAATGGCAAATTCAGGATTGGAATTCACATCTGCTTGCTTTTTGTGCATAAACTTCTTCTATTGCTCCAGGCTGTAACAACTTGATCATCATTCATTTCTTTCTCTTTTTTTGGCCACATTTGTGCAGCTTGTGGGGATCTTAGTTCCCCGACCAGGGAAGGAACCTGGGCCCACAGCAGTGTAAATAACTAAGTCCTAACACTGGATCGCCAGGGAATTCATGAATTCCCCATTCATCTCTTTCTTAAATGACTTATTCCTCTACATTCATTTTGGAGTACCTTTTTATTTACTCTATGAAGAAACCCTTAGCACAAATAATAATGGAAAAAAAAAATAACAGCTCTAGTTTGTGCTGGAAGAAATCACCACTTGACATTTTAATTTTATTTAATATGCAGATTTGTTAGACATTCTGGAAGCTGAGAAAGAATACCGCTCAGGCTTTGTTCATATCAGGGCTCAGAACTCTCTCATCCTGCCCTCCTCGCCACACCCACGAGACCTGGCTGGCCTCTGCACGCACACACACAGCAGGACCTAGCCAGGACCCCCACGTGCAGCAGCTCTCCCCATTAGCTTGGTCTCACCTGGGGCTTGCTGGGGCTACATCTTCTTCTGGCTCTTCTACAACACCGGTTAGCTCTGGGGGGAGGAAAGCATCCTTGTGGACGTTATTCACCCAGCTTTCCATTGCCCTGTTTGCTCTGTCCTTACTCTGCTCATCTGAAACAGGAAACAATGAAGGCAAGAAGGTTATCCATCTGTCTTCTCCCCAACCTACAGCTTCTCACATCAGCTCTAAATTCTGGAATGTTCCTCTCCTCTGCCTCCTCCTATTGCAGTCTCTACACAGCCAAATTCTACAAGTTCTCAAATGCTAGCTCAGATGCCAGAGCCCCCTTAAAACCTCTGTGATCCCTCTTCAGGAAATAATCTCTTTGGCCTCTGAACACCGACTGCTCTTTACCTGTACCTTTTGGATAATTAGCATCGGCTGAGAGATGACTAAGTTCAAGGCAAGGTGCTGAGTCCCTTGCATGCATAATCCTCTGAGGAGGTAAAAATTTTCCAAGTTTACAGATTTCAAAATTGAAGACCAAAGGGATCAAGAGACTTGCCTAAGGCCACATAGCCAGGCAGCGCCAGTAATACTTCCATCAGTGTGAAGAATTAAGATGAAGCAACATGAGCTTAGTCGTTTCAGTCATGTTTGACTCTTTGCCACCCCATGGACTGTAACCCGCCTGGTTCCTCTGTCCATGGGATTCTCTAGGCAAGAACACTGGAGTGGGTAGCCAATCCCTTCTCCAGGGGATCTTCCTGACCCAGGGATTGAACCCAGGTCTCCTGCATTGCAGGCAGATTCTTTACTGTCTGAGCCACCAAGGACTCCCAGTTTTCAAATACATTCATAGGTCTCTCTACTCATAAGTCTACTTTCTTCAGCTGCAAAATGGAGTCCTTGGTATAACCCACAGGACACTTCAAGATTTCTGAAGTTCTGGGTGGTTTTAGGAGGGTGCATGTCAGAGCTGGGATTTCAGCCCTTCTGATGTAGAGCCACGCTCCTTATAGATGGGGGCTGACTCCTTATGATGAGCTATGCAGTGCTCATAGCCCGTTGATGACCTTAGGCAAGTTACCTCACTTCTCTGAGTTTTACATATTGCATATATATAATGAGGATAATAATACCTACCTTACAAGATTGCTACTACAATTAGAAATATTAGGGAACAAATGCCTGTAATATATTAGATGCTAAAGAGGTGATTTCCTTATTGATAACAGGTTAGAACTAGACAGGGGCTAGTTCTCAGGGGTAAAGGTTTACACTGACTAGTGTGGAGTTAATTAGAGAGAAGGCACCTGGTAAATATTTAATGAACTCAGAATTCTAAAGAAGCCTCCAAAATGCTGTCTCTACAGTCCCTTCAATGATGTACTTGGTTTTTAAAGAAGTACCAGGTGCCACAGTCATTGAGCAGAAAGGCTAATCTCTTCCTGTTACTCTACTCAGGAGAAAAGGTTCTGAATTTTTAGTTAAGAGCCTAAGAGAGAGGAGATGGTAGATCCCTGATAAGAGCTTCCCAGGTGGTATACTGGTAAACAAAAAAAGAAAAATCTGCCTGCCAATGCAGGAGACACGAGAGATGTAGATTTGATCCCCCAGGGTTGGGAAGATCTCCTGGAGTAGGAAATGGCAACCCACTCCAGTATTCTTGCCTGGAACATTCCATGGACAGAGGAGCCCGGTAGGCTATCATCCAAGGGTCAGACATGACAGAGCGCACACGCACGCACACACACACACACACACACACTCCTTATAAGTCTCAATTGTCAATGTTACTCTGAGTCAATATGGCAGCTAAAGGGCTTTCTTTGTCCTTCTTTACCACACTGTCACTTAGCCCTGACTTCATCCATCCAAACCCAAGAAGATTTTGACCTACAGGACCACACATTATGCAAAGCACAGCCCTAAATGATTTCCCTCTGCACATTCCAGTAATGATGGTGACACCCTTCCCTTCTCCCAAACAAATGCTGGCTTGAGAGGCACTAGCCCAATCAACTTACCTGCCACCTGGGGCCTCTTCTTCCTCATGGATGCTCTGATGATATCTGCACCATGGATTCTGTCTCTGTGTCTTTTTGCCTTGGCTTCATAAAACCACTGGCCACTCATATTCTTCAGTTGCTGGTCATCCTTAACTTTTTCAGGCAAATGTCTACAAAAGGAAAAACTTACTTTACTTTGTTATGAATCCACGGTAAGTAAATGAGTTCACAGTGACACTGCACAAAGAAGTTGTAAGTATATGGCCAAAACGAAGCTCTCAGTGTTTTATGAGATCCCACAAACCTCCCAGATGACTAACCAGTGTATGCTTTAACTAAAAGGTCAGAGGATCCAATGCCAACATTTTTCAAAAATTCAAAGATTTAAGCCACAATGCCCAGATGACGCTTGGGATTTCTCGAGAGCAAATTCAATTTTCGGCTGCAGGCTTGTGTGTTCACTGTTTAAATGCAAATACCCCAGAGAAAGAGGAAATATTAAGCTTCCCTAAGCCTTGGTTTCCTTATTTTTAAAAAGGGGTTACAATAAAAAAAAATGGGCCAAAGAACTAAACAGACATTTCTCCAAAAAAGACATACAGGTGGCTAACAAACACATGAAAAGATACTCAACATCTCTCATTATCAGAGAAATGCAAATCAAAACCACAATGAGGTACCATTACATGCCAGTCAGAATGGCTGCTATCCAAAAGTCTACAAGCAATAAATGCTGGAGAGGATGTGGAGAAAAGGGAACCCTCTTACACTGTTGGTGGGAATGTAAACTAGTACAGCCACTATGGAGAACAGTGTGGAGATTCCTTAAAAAACTGGAAATGGAACTGCCATATGACCCAGCAATCCCACTGCTGGGCATGCACACCGAGGAAACCAGAATTGAAAGAGACACGTGTACTCCAATGTTCATCGCAGCACTGTTTATAATAGCCAGGACATGGAAGCAATCTAGATGCCCATCAGCAGATGAATGGATAAGAAAGCTGTGGTACATATACACAATGAAATATTGCTCAGCCATTAGAAAGAATACATTTGAATTAGTTCTAATGAGATGGATGAAACTGGAGCCTATTATACAGAGTGAAGTAAGCCAGAAAGAAAAACACCAATACAGTATACTAACACATATATACGGAATTTAGAAAGATGGTAACGATAACCCTGTATGCAAGACAGCAAGAGAGACACAGATGTATTGAACAGCCTTTTGGACTCTGTGGGAGAGGGCGAGGGCAGGATGATATGGGAGAATGGCATTGAAACATGTAAATCATCATATGTTAATCGAAACGCCAGTCCAGGTTCGATGCATGGTGGTTCAGTGGTTAAGACGTCACCTTCCAATGCAGGGGGGTGCGGGTTTGATCCCTGATTGGGGGACTAAGATCCCACATGCCTCAGTGGCCAAAAAAGCAAAACTTAAAACAGCTGCAATACTGCAACACATTCAAGAAGGACTTTAAAAATGTCCACCTTGAAAAAATCTTTAAAAAGTAAGGGGGTTAATAATAGTAACTCACCTCATGAAATTTCTATGAGGATTAAGTTAGCTAATGCAAGTATACTACCGTATGCGTATGCCTGGCACCTAATAAACACCGAGTGAATAACTGGTGGGGAAGTTATCGGTTCATCAGTTCTTGCCATTTCAGTGAAATGAACTTCTCGGAGACTTTTCTGGAAGCCTATATGTCCATGGTTCTTAATTCTAGGAAAATGAATTCAACAAGGCAGGCTGGGATCAGGGAAGTTCAAACTTAGATGGGGTAGGGAGTGCAGGCAGGGGTAAATTCCATTTGGGCAGATACTTCTTCCTAGGGTTCCACAGTCCCTGATGCTCATGGAAAAGCTAAAATCTAAAGAACAAACCAAGTACCACCCTCCTAAAGTCTCCCCCATTTTACAGCGGAGGGAAAAACACTGTTCTTCAATGACAAGTCTTATAACCTCCACATCTCCCTATCCATGTCAATGAAAGGAGAATCAAAAAAAATCTATCTTTTCTTGTTCACAGAGCTGTACTTACAATAAAGTAGAATAAAAGCGTGAAGGAGACTTTCAACTCTTGGAAGACACTGTGCTACAAAAATCCAACAGGGTTTGATGATTGTCATTCAAGCTAATACGCACACTACCTAACGTAGCAAATCTAAGTGTTTTAGCCAGAGAATGTGCAGGGTGGCCAGCGCAAGGTGGTGGCAGAGCTGCGTGTAAGGAAGGGGAAGGCAGGAGGGGCAGTCACCAGGGTTCTGGCAAGTACGTTTTCTGTCTCCCAAGTGTGCCTGAAGAGACACTTTCCAGCCAGACTCTGACTCTCTGCTGGAAATGCCTCTGCTCTCCACTTAAGGAAGTGACCCTATGCCAAACACGTCCGATCACAGCCCTCGGACACATGCTGTGGCGACAGCCCATCACCAAATCCTAACAGGGACAGTGTCTTCACTCCATGGTTCTGAACCACCAGGGGTCATGGTTCCTCTGAAACGTGTCTAATGATTGCCCACTGCCCAGACTTTCTTTTTTCAAATATCTTTACTGGAATATAGTTGATTTAAAATGTGTTAGCTTCTACTGTATAGCAAAGTGATTCAGTTATGTGTATATGTATATCCATTTTTTAAGATTCTTTTCCCATATAGGTTATTACAGCATATTGAGTAGAGGTCCCTGCGCTATATAGTAGGTCCTTACTAGTTATCTATTTTTATATACAGTAGAGTGTATATTTTTAACAGCCAGGACATGGAAGCAACCTGAATGTCCATCAACAAGAATGAATAAAGATGTGTTCATTCAGAGATTAAAAAAAAAAGTGAAATGACTCTGTGGTAAAAGAATCTGCCTGCAGGGCAGGGGATGTAGGTTTGATCCCTGGGTCTGGAAAATTCCCTGGGGAAGAAAATGGCAACCCAGTCCAGCATTCCTGCCTGGGAAATCCCATGGACAGAGGAGCCTGGATGGACCTAGACATTGTCATATTGAGTGAAGTGAGACAGAGAAAAACAAATATCATATGATATTGCTTACACGTGGAATCATTGCCTAGATTTTCAGCAGAGCAAATAATCCACCCTGGTTGCTGATGGAGCTTTTGCCTTCTCTTCCCAAAAGGACCTCATTCAGGTTCAATGCCAGAAAAGGGAAGTCCTTCCAGCTCCCCACGGCCAGACAGTGAGCCCCAAGGGGCGGGGCCTGGACTCAGCACATCTCTGCTTCGTGTCTGGAAAACAGTGGGTGTTTACTCAGCACCTCTGGAGGGAAGGAACAGCCGATGCGGCCCCTGACCACCTGGCTTCAGGCTACCTTTTCAGATTCGTTTTCCAGCACTTGCTTCCATGCTCCCCACCTGACTTCTCACTCATCTCCAAACTGCTCTTACTTGACATCTGCAGACATTAAGGGCAGGGGTTGTGGCAGAAAGACTATGGCTTTGGCCTCTCCTCAGATTGGCTCCAAATTCCAGTTCTGACCCTGCTTCAATGCCATCTTTGGCAGCTTCCTGTAACCCTCTAAGTTTCAGTCTCCTTGTACATAAAGATGGGGGACATAAAACCTACCCCGCAGGACTGCTAGGACGACTAAAGGCAGTCTTTACCTGGAAGTACCTAACAGTGCCTGGATCCTGGTAAGAGACCAGTAAATGTAAATTCTCTTGGGATGTCTTTCTCTCACGTCTCTGTCCAGCATGTGACCCCTCATCCCTCAGATCTACACCCCGCCTCACCGGGGAAGGCTTCCCTGACCCCCGAGGGCACCGGGCGGCCGGCCCTTCTCCGTGCTCCCGGCCCTTCTCCGTGCTCCCACGCTCCTCCAGGGCAGCACTCAGCGCGCCCTGTTCCAATGACCTGTTTGCACACGCGTCTCACACACTGAGCTGCGAACTCTGCTAACCCCTTGAAAGCAAGGACTACCTCCTAATCACCTTCCTAACAAGAGCCCCTAGCACAGAGCCCGGCACGGAACTGATGCCTAGAAACTGTTAAGTGGATAACTTGTTAACACATAAGTGTAGAGCAGCCAGCCTGGTGTGAGTCGGATAAGAGATGAGAGCCTGCTGTTGCCGGGCCTGAGCGAACCGAGCCCCATCACAAAGGCAGTGCCTTCTTCAGTTCAGGCAGGACCCCTCATCTCTTGGAGGATTAGGAAATGCAGAAGGAAATCTGGCATCGGCCATGAGCTTGTTGAAGGAGACCACAAACCCTCAGAGTGTAACAACTCCCAATTTCCCTTCATGAGATTATTTGTTTACTTATTTTTGTTGTTCAACTGAAAGGCACTTTGTAAGCATCCTTAGGCAATGCTTGACCTGCTCCCGCCTAACTGACTGTCTCCAAGCCTCCGGCCCCACTAAGTCTGCAGTGCTGTGGGAGTCAGGCTTCCAGTAAGCCCACTGCAGTAAAGAACTCAGGCTGCGTTTCTGGTTCATCTCTTTTAAAGTGGCAAAAAAGTAGGAAATACATTTAAATGCACTAAATGCTATTTATATATTTCCTATCATGATAATCACTGCCAGAGTTAATCAATCTCTTTTTCTATCTTAGCCATTTGTAATATTTTACAGATGAAACCACATGCAAGACATCAAAGCCCAAGTTCTGTAGAGATGTAGATTACAAAAGAAATCCCACCACCAGGGACTTCCCTGGCGGTCCAATGTTAACACTCCATGTTTCCACTGCAGGAAGCGCAGATGCGATCTCTGCTTGGGGAACTAAGATCCCGCAGGCCACATAGCATGACCATAAAAGGAGAAAAAACCTATCACCTAGGCGGTGCTGGTAAAATCTTCTCAGCATCTAGAGAATGGGTATTATGGGTATGAATGAATGAATAATGAATATTATGGGTAGTGAAATAAGTCAGACAGAAAGACAAATCCTGTATGATGTCACTTACTTGGGGAATGTGCTCATTCCACACGCTATCAAGGTAATGCTCAAAATTCTTCAAGCTAGGCTTCACAGTACATGAACCGAGAACTTCCAGATGTACAAGTTGGGTTTAGAAGAGGCAGAGGAACCAGAGATCAAATTGCCAACATCCGTTGGATCATAAAGAAAGCAAAGGAATTCTAGAAAAACATCTGCTTCTCCTTCATTGGCGACACTAAATCCTTTGACAGTGTGGATCACAACAAACTGTGGAA